CAGAGAACTGTTACCACTATTAAAATGTCTCTTTTGAAAAATATGGAATCCTCTCTCTCATTTTACCCACTGAAGCAAAGATTTCACCAGAGAAATGAACTTCAAGGCAAGGCATCCTGATGAAAGCTGAAGACATAAGCCATACCTTGTTACCCACAGAAACCATGCACTGATCACAATGCTGTCCATCTGACGACATGTACCTTGAACATTTAAACGTTACTCTCACCTTTGTTGGATTTAATAGGGAAATGTGCTGACAGTTAAAGTAATTGTGTACCTATTGCAAGAGAATGGGTGTGGTGGTGAGAAGCTTAAATATTGTTTAATATTTAGCACCATTAGCAAAGTTAAACTGCATATATAGAATGTTATATTCCTTTCTTAGATATGGGAAATGGGTAAGATGAAAATTAGGAAGAATAACAAACTGTTTCCTATATTGTCAACTTAAAATGGGAATATGTACACTTTTACTAATAAATCATTTTTCAAAATAATGTTACTTTCTGTATATCATTCCATATAGTTGTTATTCAGGAATTGGGCACACAGTGGTGCCGTTTTAACTTACAGTACATTGTCTGCAATGTACAATATGGAAAAATGAAGTTGATTTTAGATTCTAAACACCTATTTATGGGTTGTGAGAATCAGTTAATTTTCAAGAAGCCATTTTCCCCCCTTCCTGCTGTGTGCCCAGACCCGTGATGGTGAACCTATGGCACACATGCCACAGCTGGCACCCAGAACCCTCTCTGCGGGCATGCGAGCCGTCACCCAGCTCAGCTCTATTGCGCATGTGTGTGCAAGGTGTGTGTGGGAGCGTGGGGGGATCAGGTGCACATGCACAGGGGGTTGTGGGGGGTGGGTTGTGCATGCATGCATGGGGTGGGTGCACATTGCATTATGGGTGTACTTTTGGCACACGAAGAGAAAAAGGTTAGCCATCACTGGCCTAGAACATACTTTCTCAAATGGGGTCCCACAAGAAAAATGACTGGAGAAAACAAAAATCACTTTTTAAAAAAACAAACAAACTTTGTGTAGCACTAGTATTCTCAGTGATGGGTATTTTTATGTCACTTTGCTTTTATAAATGTTGGAGAATATGCATGATGTAGATTGGAAGTGTATTGTGAAATTTTGTGTATGTTGTCTTATTTTTATCAAAGTTTCCCTAAGACCTGAAAATTATTTCAAGGGATTCTCCAGGGTGAAAAGTTGAGAAAGGATGATCTAAACTAGGGGTGTCAAACTCGCGATGATACATCATCATGTGATGTATCATAACGTTTTTTACCTTTGCTAAAATTGGGGTGGGCATTGCAGTTATAGTACCAAAAATGTCAAATAGCCCCTTTAAGATTTTGTGATTTTTTTTGTGATTAATGTAAATTGGACTTAAAGCTACAGTACATATAGTAATATATACTCAATATAAAGGTAAAGCTTTCCCTTGGCCAGTCATGTCTGACTCTAGGAGGCAGTGCTGATCTCCATTTGCTAGCAGAGGAAGCCAGCATTGTCTGAAGACATTTCCGTGATCATGTGGCCAGCATGGCTATATGCCAAAGGCGCACGGAATGCTGTTACCTTCCCACCGAAATGGTACCTATTTATCTACTTGCATTTGCATGCTTTCAAACTGCTAGGTGAGTAGGAGCTGGGGCAAGTAACAGGAGCTCATCCCATCCCATGGCACTTGGGTCTTGAACCCAGGCTGTCAGCTTTCCAGCTGACAAGTTCAGTGTGTTTTAACCACTGAGCCATCACACACCCTCACACTCAATATATGGCATAGCAATTCATAAAGTTTATGGTTTGGGTAAGTCCATTTGCACATATCTGTGCGTGTTCAGAAATCTGATATATCAGTGAGGGGAACCTGTGTATTCCCCCATTAACAGCAAATAAGACATTATCCCAAAATAGGGATCCTGCAGTTTAACCTCTGCAAGATTTGCAGGTGACTCATGGGTAAAACCAACCAATTTCGTTGCATACATGATGTACAATGACAATAAAGGCTATAAAAAAACGTCTAACGGGTAAGGGAAAAGCACTGAACAGTCAGCAAACCATTGGAACTATTATTTACCTAGCATCTATAGTAACTTGTTCAGATAATTTTTCAAGTTTAAATTTAATTCCTAGGAACAGACCAGAATTCCTATTGCCAAGCAAAGTGATGGTTCAGTAACTTGTGCCTGATTTTGCCATCTTTTTTTTTGGCATGGTTATTAATGGAATCACTTCAGTTGTTAAGTGAATCATATAGTCACTAAACAAATCTGGCTTTCCCCTACTAATTTTACTTCTGGGAAGCAAACTGGGAAGGCCAGAAAGAGTGATCACATGACCACAGGACTCAGCAAACATTGTAAATACATGCTGGTAGCACAGAACCAGAATTTTAACCGCATGACTGTGGGGATGCTGCAACAATCATGTCTCTCTTTTCAGTGCTATTGTAACTTTGGTCACCAAATGAAAGGTTGTAAGTTGAGGACTATCTGTTTTGGAATGCCATCCTCAGTAGTTGCCATTGGAGGCCATTTCATTTGTCTAATGATGGGGCTGACTCTTTATGTGGCCCACAATTTAACCAGTTCTGAAACTGCTCACTGATCTCAAGGACCTACTTGTCATGATCCTTTCACTTGGGCTATCTTCTTACCTGAAAGCTGCAGACTTGCCACTCCCTGAGAAATTCTGCAGGTAGTTTACAGAGCAAAGTCATACCTAGAATAGGCAAGGCAGAGGAGGCGGTGAGACTCAGAGACAGGGCAAGTTCTGACCTGTGAATTGCAGGTTTGGGAAAGGAATTAACTTCAAGAAGGAGCCAAAGCAGGGGTGGAGGAATGCAGATATGAATCTGACCATTTCTAAAGAAACATGGAAAGATAAAAAGTGCTCAGCCCAGCAGAAGACAAATTGGACTGCTGTATTGCAGAGATGCTTAAAAGAACTGCTCAGAGAAACCACTCTGTAAGGAAGGTAGGATCACCACGTGATTGGACCCCTTTTTACAACCTTTTGTTGCATCCATTGTTGTATCCAATGAATTCATTGTTTGCTATGGGTCAGTTTTTGCTGGAAACCAGAAGCAACTGCTGGTTTCTGACAAAACCATCATCAATTGAAGTCATGTGAGTATGGGATGGTGCTCCTTGTACTCAGTGGGACAGTCTCTTTGTGAGGAATTCATAACTTCAAATGGTCGCTATGCAACTGGTTACAAGTTGAGGACTTATATTTGGCTGAGAGAGAGCTTTGACATCTCCAACACCGGACAACTCCTCTCAAGTATGAAGCTCCTGGAACAGTACTGATGGTTCACCACCATACACCATATCTATCATTCTCAGACATCCAACATGGCTACCTTTTCCTCAAGAGAGGAGAAAACAACCCTTGCCTGCCACCTCCTCTGTTTCTTTTTCCCTCCTGAGTCCCACTAGCTCCTCTGCTCCTCCCATAGAGTGAGCTGCTGTCTTGTTCCATTCTGTTTTACGGCTCCAAAGAGCCATGTCCCTGTTGGCTACTTTCAAGACATCAAATCATGAGGTTGTATACACACTCCACCTCAGCCACCAATAAATCAGGAAATTAGCCAGGCTAATAGTCGTAAAGACTATGTGCCAAGTCAAATACAGGTACTCCTCAAGTTACGACTACAATTGAGTCCAAAATTTATGCTGCTAAGTGAAACATTTGTTCAGTGAGTTTGCCCCATTTTACGACTTGCCACAGTTGTGAAGTGAATCATTACATTTGTTAAATTAGTAACATGGTTATTAAGTGAATCTGGCTTTCCCACTGACTTTGCTTGTCAGGAAGTTGCAAAAGGGGATCATATGATCCTGAGACACTGCAACCATCATAAATATCAGTTGCCAAGTTGAATTTTGATTATGTGACCTTGGGGATGCTGCAACAGTCGTAAGTGTGAACAGCGGTTGTTAAGTGACTTTTTCAGTGCTGTTGTAACTTTGAACAGTCACTAAATGAACTGTTATAAGTCGAGGACTACCTATAGTAGAGCCATTTTGTTCACAGTAGTATCAGCTGTATTCATTAGCAATGACTTCTTAGAGGATTATTTATTTGTTTGTTAGTTAGTTAGTTAGTTAGTTAGTTAGTTAGTTAGTTAGTTAGTTTGATTTATATGCCACCCTTCTCCGGAAACTCAGGGCGGCTTACAATGCTTTTAAGCCATGTTCTATTTTATACAAAGTCAGCTTATTGCCCCCACAAACCGGGTCCTCATTTTACCTACCTCGGAAGGATAGAAGGCTGAGTCAACCTTGAGCCTGGTGAGAATTGAACTCGCAGTAATTGCAGGCAGCTGGCAGCTAAATAACAGTAGTTTAGTCCACTGCACCACCAGGCTCCTTAAAGTGCGATCTGCCACTTCTGCAAGATGTATCCCCTACTGATCTCTTGACTTGATAAGTGGGGTGGGACTGTATATTGCAGTGTCAAAATATCCCTTTGCCAGGGTTATTATATTCATGATCAGGAAAATGCCAGTGCAAGGCCAGAGATGTTATTTTCATGCACAGGGCCTTTGTGCATGAAGGGGCACCTCATATCTTTGCTGGGGGGAGGGGGATTTCTGACTTCTGCTACCTGCTCTGTTCCATCATAGCCCTGCACTGTAAAAGATTAAGAGATCCCCATTACATAAACGCCAGCACACTGCCATTTGCTTAAAAGGCAATGGTGGCTTGCTATCATGAGCATTCAATCACTAGGAAGCAATAGCAGTGCATTCCCTTTTGTTTTTGCAAGCAGGAGGGAAGGTGGCCCGTTTAGCACTGAACTCAAGGTGGAGGAAGAGGACACACTTAGTTACCAGCCCACAAAGAAGCCCCCATTGGCTGGCAGTTTCTGCCTCAAACAATTGGCCAGAAAGGGCAATCACTGATTGGCTGGCTGTTCCCTGCACGCGACAGACTCATCCAGATGCCAGCACTGATGCCGATGGCTTGAAAGTAGTCAAAACAGCCCGATGAGCCTTAGATGCCTGTTTTGCTGGCGTCAGAAGGATTGAGAGGTAGAAAAACAACTTGAAGTGCTTCAGGACAAGGTATACGGAACCAGCTGAATAATTAGGAGATGAATTAATGGAGTGTGATAAATGAGAGCGAGATCACGAAGAGCTGCTGGCAACCAAAGTAGAAAATGTTAACCTAGAAGGGAGAGTGCTGTGGCTTGATATACAAATAGTCCTCAACTTGCCACCGGAACAGGGACCAGAATTTCCACTGCTAAACAAGGCAGTTGTTAAGGAAGCTGTACCCGATTACTGCCACAGTAGCAAATCATGCAGTTGTTAAGCGAATCCAGCTCCCCTCATTGACTTTGCTTGTCTGAAGCCAGCTGGAAAGGTCACAATTGGTGATCACATTAGCCCTAGATGCTACAAACATTGTAAATAGATACCAAGTGCCTGAATTTTGATCACGCGACTGGGGGGATGCTGCAGCAGTGGTAAGGGCAAAGACTGATCTTAAGTCTCTTATTTTTCAATGCTGTTGTGACTCTGAATTGTTGCTAAATGAATGGTTGTAAATCAAGGACTACCTGTAAGGTAGCTTTGTAAGATGCCTCCTCATGTGGAATCAAGCATCATATTTCTTGCAGGATATGCTGCACTGTCTGAGAGATATTAGTTATTTGAGCTTTTACTAGTCTCATTTGCATCACTTTACTAATTGCATGGTTTTCTTGGCATGATCTTGTATGTAGCAGGAAGTTGGTATTCTGGATCTTCTCTACCTTCTCCCCAAGTGTTGCATCTGGCAGTTGATGTTGCTGTAGAAGAATTGAAGTCCTCCTTGTGGGAAGCAGAGGAGATGCAAGGGACATTCTGTTGATCATCTGCCTGGGATGAAAGCAAAAATGGTAGTGAATATAGATAAATCTGGGCATTTTTCAAAAGATGTTGGGGAGAGACAGGTGGTTAACATGACCTAGAGCAGCAATGTCCAACTTTGGCAACTTTAAGACATGGAGACTTTAAGTTGAGTTGAAGTCCACAGGTCTTAAAGTTGCCAAGGTTGGTCACCCTTGACCTAGAACTTGGGTATCTGGTTAAGATGAAAAAATTAGAGTCTTTCTTTGCTAAGCCTGAAATTGTTCCTTGGGACTTGCATTCAGTGGGATATCCTTATACCTTGCCATCTTGTGCATTTGTACTGGAGATAATCTTCAGCAGATAAGATTTCTTTTATTTGACATGTTTGCTGTAAAATGTGTTCTAATTTTATGCCTTTCATTTTTTATATCTACGTTGTGGAAAAGGTCACTCAAGAGCTAAAAAGGAATGCAGGGAGAAAGAGGTTGGGCCACTATTAAGAAGAGCCAAGGCATGTGGATAGCAAAACTCACTGGGGAAAAATAACCAACAAACCAAAGGCAGACAAGAGTGACTTCATCATTTCATAGGCTGTTTACTTTTGGCAGCTTTTCTCATTTTGAGTTTTGAGTTGCAAAAATTTTGTTTACTATGCTGGCTAGGAATTATGGGAAATGTAGTCCTAACATAGTGTGATGGTACCAAACTTGGCTCTTTGTATTCATTTTTTTAAAAAAAATTGCATAGAAGGTTTTGAAAGATGATTGGACAAATCCAATCCAGGGAAGAAAAATCTATCAATCAGAGCCATTGCTATTGGAAGTCTTGGCCTAAGGCAGGAGTCTTCTTTTTAAGTACTTAAGAGACTTAAAATGGCATTGGGATCACAGGGTACAAAATTTCCATATTAGAATATTAGAGACTCCTATAGAAAATGAGATACAATATAAGCAAAAACAAAGATACTTCTTGCACTCCAAACTTGTCTTAAAAAATAAATGTAGAAACAGGTTTCCAAACGTTAAAAGCTGATTCACATAATATGTAACACTTGATCAGTTAAACTTCACAAAGCATGGGCAGCTAGTGTCACCCTTGGTTGGGTTGGGTTGGGTTGAGTTGGGTTGCAGTTATACAGCTTACTATGTTTTATGAATCCAAACTGTTTCATTAGTTTCCAGTTCAATATGTTATTATGCTATAACCTAGAAAATGATCTAGGTTATCTAGATCTAGTAGATGAGCTGAGGTGACGCAGTGGTTAGAGTGCAGTACTGCAGCTACTTCTGCTGACTGCTAGTTCAACAGATCAGTGGATCAAATCTCACCGGCTCAAGGTTGACTCAGTCTTCCATCCTTCTGAGGTGGGTAAAATGAGGACCCTTGTTAGGGGGCAATATGCTATTTAGTATACTGTCTTTGGTGTAAGCCGCCCAGAGTCCTCGGAGAGTGGGCGGCATAGAAATATGACTAATAAATAAATAAATAAACAGGTTAGAAAGGTTGTATGTGAATCCAATTACCAACATAAGAGATCACAAGTTAAATTGTTATTATTTCTGGCTAGATCTCAAAAATTGCTTACATATGGCTTTACCAAAAGATCCCAATTGAGTCAATAGATGGTAATTCTGATGTGTTTTGTCTGGACATCATATAAACCTCAAGCAGAGCTTGCAGGCGGCAGATCTGTCCGCCCCCCCTTTCTCCGCCCCCCTCTACTTCAAGGTGTATCGTCTTCCTAACACGGAGGCTCTATTTTACAGCCCAAAGCCAAGCTGATGCGCACGGCTCTTCTCGCCCAATTCGCACATTTCTGTCGTCCCCACGCCAAAAAAACCCAATAAGGCTGGATTATCCCCAACATCGCGACAATCCTCGCTATTAATCTTTGATCAGAATATCGATACCTGCGTATTTGCACCCTGAAGTCTGGAAGTCTTAGGATTTGGGGCTGTTTTGCACAACTGACAACCCCCCCACACACACACACATCTGCTGAAGATCCTCTCGCGCGCCTCTCACGCCGCCCGGTACAGAAGGCGGAACGGGGGCAAGTGGGTGCGGAAAACTCCAGGCAGGGAGAGGGTGTGCAATTTGCAAAAAGCCCCTCCTGCCTTTCGGAGCAATTAGTTCAGCTCCTGTCACACCCCCTCTTCCCACCCCTTCAGGCAACCCGCGGGGGGGGGGAGGGACGTGGGAAGGCGGCGCGTGCCGCCCATCGGCGACACATATCGTTACAACTGTCTCTCCCCCGTCCTCGCCCCCCCCGTCTCTTTCACCCGCCTGGCAGCTGCCAGCGAGCGGCGCAACAAAGCCAGTTTTGGCTGCCCCCTCCCCGCCGCCGCCGGCGGCCCGCTTTCCCCGCGTGCCCAAACTGAGCTAAGCAGCCAATTAGCGCCTCGGATGCCCAACCGCGCCCCGCCTCCCCCCACCCTCTCTCCCCTTCCGCGCCCCGCTCAGCCCGCTCTCGCCAGCCGTTCCCCAACTGCGGGCGACGGTGCGCGGCGCGGCGCGGCGGCGCTAAAGCAGCCCGGCGGGTGGAGAGACTGCGGTGGGCGGCCGCGGGCGGCGCTGGCCCGGATTTGCGCCCGTTGTGGTGGTGGTGGTGGGGATCGTCGGGCAAGACGCGGGGCAAAGCCGGAGCCAGGTGAGGGCGGCGCAAGAGGAGCGTCCCGGCGACGCGCGGTGGCAATTCGGGGAAGGAGTGCAGTGTGAGGAGCGGGTGCTTACTGCGCCCCCGCGGTCTCCCTGCAAATGTAGTGCAGGGCAGGGAAACGGGCAAGCAAAGCCGGTCCTTGCGGATGCCTAATTTTGGGGCTATTGTGTGTGTGGGGGGTGGCGGTGGTAACCCACGTTTCTTGCAGGAATTCTTGCTCGCGGGCGCGCAGCAGAGGGGATTTGGCCACGGCCCGGAAAATCAGTGTGTACAAAACAAAAGGTTGGGCGCTCACACAGAACGCTTGGTCGGGCGCATTGTTGTGCGGCTGCCTTCCCGACACAGGAAGTTTGGTCGGTGGTAAGCCTGCTCGGTATTTTTTTAAAACCTGATTTACTTTATGCTCCGAATGCAACCCCTTGTAGTTAATTATGGACCAGTATGTTATGTGAAGCTTAGCGGGTTAACTTAGTCAGCAAAGGGTGAAGGGTTGTGTGACTGCACCTAATTTCTTGGACGGCAGGGATGGTCTTCCAGCTGCTGAGAATGGGACGGGAGTATCCAGGGCGGCCATCTAGTGATTAAGGGAGTTGCAGTCCGAGGCGTTCAAAGCTCCTGCTTTGTTCAAAGTTCAAAGGTCCTGCTTCAGCGTTACATACACGAGTCCTCCTGACTTCAAAGGGTTCACAAGACAAGTCTGCACATGTTGCAGTGTGAGTGCTGGACGCCATTCAGAGTTGATGCTAGGGGCAAAATTACAGGTAAGTGATTGAGCACCTGTTTCTCATGTATGAGTGTATTCAGTTGTAATCATCTGCACTTGAGAGGCTCTGGTAACAGGGAAGGTGAAAATTCTCTGCTCAACCTTTTGGAGAGCTTTTGGCAGAATGGAAAGTCCTGGAGGGGAAAAGCAGAAATAATGTAATTGAGTAAATTGTACCTTTGTAGGATGCTGCCATAAAGTTGTCTTGAGGCATCATATACACATGGTCCTATAAAAAGAGATCAACCAGACTCTTTGGGCTTTCAAATTCGAAGAGAGAGAGAGAAAGAAAAAGAGGGAGAGATATTTGTACATGTTGGTTTCAAGAGAGGCTTTTGTACTTTCCCCTCTCTCCATGTGCCTGGACATTATTTCTGGTAACTGTACATGCCAACATCAAGCCAGTTGGCTTGTTCTGTGCAAGACTGCCTCTCTTATATGCTGGAGGAAATGAAAAGCTCACATATCAGTGCGGCCAGGAATAATGCACCTCGAACGCAGCTGCTGATGTTGTCAGGGATGACCATGTGAACCTTATTAAAGAATGGCTGATTGGATTCTTCGTGTGTCTTTTTGCTGCTTTATGTGTCCTGGGTGACAGAAGCTGAATCTGTGCATCTGTGCTTGCCTGATGCACCTTGAAGCATCGCTTCTGGTCTTGCATATGGCATGTTTCAGGGATCCTAAACACTTTTCAGTTTCTTTCTTCAAACATGGTTCCTTAGTGTAAACTGGCTCTAATCCTGAATGACCTGGCCAAATTGTAAAAGTGAATGTGTCAGAGAGAACATTGGAGAGCAGTCATTTTGATTTAGGTTAATGAGATGGAAATGCTAATGACATGACGCTGAATTTCAAGTTTGTTTTGATCTTGCTTCTTTTTAAAAAAAGAATGCCCCCCTCCCTCCAGCAAAATAAGCATGACCCTCAATTTGGAAAGGTTTTCTGAAAAGATATTTCAATTTATATTCCTTCCCATTCTTCAGGACATTAATACTGTTACATAAATACCAACCTTATTGCATTGATCAGTAATGGAACAGAAACGAGAGCTCCCTCATTGAGGGGGCTTCTGAATAAGTCCCATGGAATCAAACCAGATTTACTTTTACATGAGCATTGATCAGATATGTGGTAGTGGTGGAAATATTAGCAAAGAGCCTGTTAACCTTGGAGCTTGTCAACTTTTTCAGATGTCTGCGAGATTTGGATTATTTTGCTTAAAAAAAATTAATGTAATTTATGGTTATTGTGAGGGCCCAGTTTGCTGTCCCCTGCTTGCTTTTCATTGTGAAAAAAGTGGAGATTCTTGTATTAAAATGCTTTTATAAGTGCCTCTAGGCCAAGTCAGGGTTTTCTTCAGCATTTTAGGAGTGGCTAAAAGACACTTTTTATGTGGCTCATAGATTTTTATCTATGGTGCTTTTGCTGTTCTCTGAGCTGTTTGCTTGCAGACTACCAACTATCATCAGTGCAAGGGATTATGGGGTTTGCTCCCGGTACACAGTAGCTTGCCCTGCCAGTTTTTGATAGGGTGTGGTTTTTCTTGTTGATGGCTTCTTAGAGTATTGGTTTTTAACAGATTCATATTCTTCCTTTCTTCTCTAACAATGTTTAAGGTAGCATACATAACACTCCCTCCTACTGTTTTTTCCCCAGAACAACAACCTTGTGAGGTGGGTTGGGCTGAGAGAGTGATTGGCGCCAGAGTTTTCCCATTGCCAGCCCTCAATTCTAAGCAGTGACGTCTTCTCTGTGGGGCTTCAATTGCACTACAGAATAATAGAGTCAGAAGGGACCTTGGAAGTCTTCTAGTCTAATCCCCTGCTTAGGCAGGAAACCCTATACCATTTCAGATCAATGTTATCCAATCTCTTCTTAAAAACCTCCAGTGTTGGAGCACTTACAACTTCTGGAGGCAAATCATTCCACTGATTAATTGTTCTAACTATCAGTAAATTTCTCCTTAATTCTAGGTTGGTTCTCTTCTTGGTTAGTTTCCATCCATTGCTTCTTATTCTGCCTTGGGTGCTTTGAAGAATAGGTTGACCCATTCATCTTTGTGGTAGCCTTTTAGATATTGGAACACTTCAGAGAGAGGAACATGGCTACAATCTGCTCCCCTGTATAAACTCTATAGAAATAAAAATCTGAGTTCATAAGACACATAGATGAGCATTTCTAAGATACCAACTCCTTGGAAAGTTTTACTTTTGTGCTTTTTTTCATACTGTTCTTAGGCAGGATGCTTTTTTTGTGTGTAATTTGATCGTCAAGGGCCCAGATGTGAAGACGTTAAAAAAAGTTTCCTGGGTAGCTTCTTTTTCTTAGCTACAAACAAATCCAGCAAACAAATAAATACCTTTCAATGGGTTTTTCATGGGGACTTCAGTTATAAGGAGAAAAAAACTGGGGCATAATTTTAGCATCATAGCCTATTTGATTTGTCTAAAGCAATCGGTCATCCAAAACAAAGCTTAAATAATGCTTATCCATATAAGTCACATTATAACGAATATAAAGAAACAATGGATGGAAACTAAGCAAGGAAGGAACCAACCTAGAAATACAGTTAATCCTTGAGTTACGAATGTAATGGAGCTTGCCAATTACTGTAAGGAAAAAAATTCCTGACAGTGAGAACAATTAATCAATGGAATGGCTTGCCTCCAGAAGTTGCAGGTTCTTCATTACTGGAGGCTTTTAAGAAGAGCCACTTGTCTGAAATGGTATAGGGTCTCCTGCTTGAGCAAGGGGATTGCACTGCTGTAGAAGATCTCTAAGGTCCTTTCTGACTCTGTTATTCTGCATTCTAAATAAGAGGAGCAAGAAACTTATCTCCAAATTATTCTGAATTTTCCACCTCTTTATAGCATGGCTTTCCATTTCATGACTTGATTTACTTATCCCTACAGTACAGAATGCAATGGTCACATTGCATCTTGCCTTGAACTAATTTTTGATGATGAGAGCCAGGAGTATACAGAACATTTTGATTTTGAAACATTTTGCAGTCGAAAGACCCTGTTTTGGGTTCTGGCAAATTCACAGGAAGCCTTCCATACTGTTCCAGCCAACTCAGACATGTTCTGAGTCTGAACGCCTCCAGCGAGGTCAGAACAGCTTTAGGACACTTGCCAATGGTTGGAAATTCCATCCAGATATGAAACATTTTTAATACAAAATGTTTTACAAGATTAATACCATGCTACATTACCAGTGCCTCTTCTGCTTTTGAAAGGAACCATCATTACACAAGTGTCTACTCCAAGGCTGTCCAACCTTGAGAGCTTTAAGACTTGTGGACAATGCTGGCTGGGGAATTCTGGGAGTAGAAGTGCACAGGTCTTAAAGTTGCCAAGGTTGGATACCTCTGCTCTACTCCAAGCAATATGTTGGGATTTGGGAAAGGAGCTTGGTGCATTTAGTGCTGATGGGCTTTTCCAACAGACAGATTGCTAAGCATCTTCACCTGGAGCACAGGCAAACTTTGATGGCCAATGAATATGCTTAGCATTTTTTGGTCAACAGGATCAGAGTGGATTAGCAAAATGGCTAAAGCAAGGAATTAGTGGTGAGGGTAAATTTTGATCCCCCCCCCCATAACTATGCTAAATCTATTTTAAGGTATACATTACTATATTCCTGAAATACTAGGGTGGGGAAAACTACCTATTCTCAGCAACTGAGAGCCATAAGAAAGAGATTTGGGGAACAACTGTATTTTGGAATCTCTAGTTACCTAAACATTAGCAGTGGTAGCAAATTTTGGTACTCAGCATATCTGTAATGTAATATTTGGTTTGCCTTTGAAACCTGAAGCTTTCTATTCGGATCCATGCTGGGCTGTTGCAAGAAAAAGGACAGCTAAGACTACATTGTCTAGCAGTGGCTCCCTTGGAGCTTCTGCTGTGCAGAGGACCTTTTTCACTGGAGATATCAAAGTGCCTCATAATGCACCTCATTTGCTGTGAAGCCTGGCTGTGGCTTCTATCCAAGATCTTAGCAAAGTTGTGTGGGTTTTTGCTAATTGTATTCTTAGACATATTTTTCTTTGGCTTTCCTCTCCTCTCCTCCTTGAATGCCAACAAAATGCAGACAATTCAATCTAAGGAGCCAAGATGGAGTTGAAGGTTGTCCAGAGGAGGATGCAATTGTCTAAGCCAGTGTTTCTCAATCTCAGTAACATTAAGAAGGCATACTGGCTGGGGAATTCTGGGAGTTGAAGTCTACCCATCTGAAAGTTGCTGAGGTTGAGAAACACTGATTACCAGTCATACTGATGGTGCCAAATGCAGAAATGGAGCTTACACTGTCAATGGTAAGAGTTGAGAACAACACTGCCAATTGGAGACCAGACCATCCAGAATTTCTCAGACTCATACTGGATGAATAGTTTCTCACTTCCACATGCTTTCTAGGGTACAGTTTGCCAAAGATAACTAGGTTTCCATGTTTCAGTCCCTCTGATTGGCTCAGTATGGCTTGCACTGCTGCTTCACAGTCTTTTCTCAACCGCCTGAACATTGTGCGGTTGACCGATCCCTTCTCTAGGAGCCCTGGTGGCACAGTGGTTAAAGTGCAGTACTGCAGGCAAATTCTGCCCACAGCCTGGCATTCAATTCTGACAGCCTCAAGGTGGACACAGCCTTCCAAGGTCAGTAAAATGAGGATTCAGATTGTTGAGGGCAATATGCTGGCTCTGTAAACTTCCCAGAAAGTGCTGTAAAGCACTAATGTGGTAGTATATAACTGTAAGTGCTATTGCTATTCTCTTTGCTGCAGTGGTGAAATCTAATTTTTTTTACTACCGGTTCTATGGGCGTGCCTTGGTGGGTGTGGTGTGGCTTGGCATGAACCTTCCAGAGGACGTGACTGCTTTAATATCTCTAGGAGGGCAGTTTTGTTCATGAAAACCAGCTTGGTGAAATATGAATATTTAGTATGGCCCCATAGCATGCAGTCATTTTAACTGGGGAACATGCATGTACAATACAT